TATCATGTTGGTGTGATGTAATTTCTGATTCGATAGACACACAGTCGAAAAAAAAAAACTGTTTTCAGACTACCCCAAAACTGTCCATCTACCTACCTTTCAATAAGTTATCTCTGGAGACAGTATTTGTAGCTCTGTAACTTTCCAGTGTGCTCATAGTTGTAGACATAGCCGTATAATTCTCATCGGTGCTACCTGTGTCATTTACTGACTCGTCGCAGTGTTTGCTTTCACTCTTGATAAGTATCGGGCCTCTGCAGTAAAAAAAATTTGAAGTGTGTTATATAATAATTCATAAGATAATGGTTTTTACATATAACTACTGTATTTATCCAGGTAAGCGCTCATGCCTGGGCAAACCCCACCCCTCCAATTTTGATACAATAAAAAAGTTGAGGTCATATCCGGGCATATGCTCAGGGGGTCTTTTCTGGTAGTTTCGTGTTCTGCCTCGAGGGCAGTGTGTTCGCCGCTGTTTACCTTTATTTTTCAAGATTTTTCATCAGAATCATAACAATCAGCAAGTCTACAAAAATGTATATTAAAGCAAAAAGGTAGTTCTCTTTTTGAAGTATGTCGTGGCCCTGAAAAGGACCGTTTGGTTTGTGTTTCCTTAGAAACAATTCATGCAAATCTTACAGCATATGGAGAACCACGGGGCAAGTGACGCACTCGTTCAGCTTTAGCATCATCGACAATGAAACCGATGTTGCAATATTGAAAGAATGTTGTTTTGGCTTAATAAAATATTTGGTAGCAGCTTGCGAATCCATAACTGGGGCCAGCAATTTTGCAATGTCATGCCGAAGACTGCAAATTTTTTTACCATCTTTTATCACCGCTATTGCATTTCTGTCATGGAAATTATTCTTCTGTCGTTGAAAACAAAAATCTTGAAGTTCTTATTTCAAGCCCACTGCGATATCCATAGTGAGACATTCCAACCACAGGAACTTGCTGAATGATAACTTTGACCATGATTGATGAGCGCCTAGTCTAATAAGAAAGCAATGTTGACTTGACCTCTATGATGAAACTCTAGTAATGATGTCATTTTTAGCCAATCAGTAAAGCAGATGCTTAAAGTTCAAAGATGATTGCCAGACTGTAAACAAAAGCATCATGCAAGTCATTTGCCCCAACCTCATTTTTCTTGTCTCTTTATTCTGATTAGACATGAAATAAAAGTGCCAAGCTGATAGACAGCGAAGTCCAAATTGTGTGGGACGATTTTTATTATTTCTGTTTTATTTGTCACATTCTAAGCAATAAATTATTTCTTGTTACATTTCTAATACTGCATATTTTTCATTTATTTCCGTTGCATGTCTTCATTTGACACTCTATTCCCTGCCGCAGTAGATCTGCGTGTTGTCAATGGTATGCATGTCAATTAAACTTATTGTCAACCAATGACAACACAGAATGCAATGAACACTTCAAAATAGTTTGATTGTGCAAGGTTTCTTTCCAGTTGAAAAAGCTAAAAATACTAAAAAATGCAAATACTTATATTGCTAAATATCTGTTTTATGGACCATTGCTAAGCACAGAATGGTTGTTCAAAATGGCAGCTCATGTCAAAGTTCAAATAGATTTTGTTAATCGCTGGTGCATGAGTGAAATGTTGAATGTATCACCTAAATATGTGTGTATGTGCCATCTTAACCTTTTCACCACAAGATCTCTCTTTTCATCACAAATTCACAAAATAGTCCCATTTATAGTCTGCACTTTGGAACAAAATAGCCAATTTTTTTGAGTAAAAACTGAAAATTGACTAAGACTTTGTCTGTTGGCTAGAAAATTATGATTCTTTTCCAGAAATATTGAAGAATGTAAGAAAAAAATGCAAAAAAAGTTTGGGCGAGAAAGTCGGGTGGTGAAAAGGTTAATGACAGGCATATAACTTCTTTTTGGCAAGAACAAGTAGAGTCAGTAATATAAAATCATCAAACAATAAACAAACCTTGTATGTGGCAAATCAGGGTCAGCTCTTGGATTGAAACTATTTTTTGAAATACTTGACACATTTGGTTTCATAGAGACGGTACGTGTGACACGCTGTGATACGGTGGGAATGTCATCCAGACTTTGCATTAATTCATCAAGCAATTCATCATCATGAGTATTCCAACTCTCAGTTTTGGCTTTACTACTGTATATTCTGTGTGAGAATCAAACAACATTTTTAATGTATAACAAAGTTATTCAAGAAGGTCGTAAAATATGATTTGCCCAAGCATACTGTCTGAGTACATGTATTACGGTATATTGTATGAAGACCAGAAGTACACATGGTAGTGAAAATTATAGAAAATTTCTTGCTACAAACTTGGTTTTCAAACATGTCTGACATTATGGAAATATAACCACATAATTATTCTAGAATTAGAATTCCTATTTTCTAATAAGGTAGAATCCACATAGCCCATGCAATACCTCAAAATCACACCATAATATAACGTTTAATGTCAGGCAGCTGTTCCTGACATGGAACGTCACTGTGCGACAGGAATGTGACGGGATGTGTGACCATGTTCATATCACTATGACAATGTAACACAATACCCCATCATCAACCAAGAGCAGTGAAACACAATCAACTTCATACCTTAAGGTAGACGCCTACTCATAATTTCTGAGAGAGTTGGTCATTAATCGCAGGACAATGTTTATTAGTCTATTATGTAAATTCAAGGAGCTACTATCCACTAAAAATCAGCCATCATTTTCTTGAAAATTAAGCTGGTGACCCCAAGTTTTTTTAAGTCAATATTCTTATATTGCTTAGGAGTACAATTTATTGCAAAATTGATAGTGGGTATTTGGATTTACAAGTCGGTTTCCCCAAAAATCACATTCATCAGTGAATGGCTATCTATTAAGATACTTCAACTAATGAAATCATTACAATAAGTGATCCGAGTAATAATTATTTCTTACTGTCTTTGTATTGTACTTCTGTCACGAAGATGATTCTCATCACTCATCATAGAAAACCTATTGACTCCTCCTAGTTTCCGCCGTCGTTGGGAACCTTCATACGGCGGCAACTCTTCTGGCCAACTCAGTATACTTTCCTTTGACCACCATTTACCTTTCTCTAGGCCTCTGCAAGCAGGATCAAAGAAAGTAAATCAAAATACAATTGTTAGATGAATGTGACAACATATTTTAATTACTCAACCAATGTTAGCAACACAGATAGAGGGAAGGGTAATTTAATATAAAACAGCATTTCAATACTCACCTCAGATCCGATAGTCTTGGAGACTAAAAGAGAAACAAAAGGACAAATAAATTAAGAGCAGGTTTGTTGATTTCACTAATGAATTATGTACATTCAAGTATGTCAATAACTTATCAGTGATTGGTGATTCAATGAATCGGCAAGATCATTGACATGTGTACCAATGAACAGCTCTGCTCTGTCGACTAAGTTGCCAGTCAATCAACAGGATCAGTGATAGGTGATAACAACTCAATATGATCAGTGATGGGTGTGTCAATGAACCAGTGATATCAGTGATATATATTTCAACAAGATCATTGGAAGGTATGTCAATGAATCAATGATGGGTATTTCAATAAATTGGTGATAGGTATGTCAATGAATCAATGATGGGTATTTCAATAAATTGGTGATAGGTATGTCAATGAATCAATGATGGGTATTTCAATAAATTGGTGATAGGTATGTCAATGAATCAATGATGGGTATTTCAATAAATTGGTGATAGGTATGTCAATGAATCAATGATGGGTATTTCAATAAATTGGTGATAGGTATGTCAATGAATCATCGTCACCAGTGAAAGGTGTTACAATTACTAGTAATCAATACATACAGAGCTACATATATCAATCAACAAAATTAGTGATAGAAATATCAATAAACAAACAAAATCTATGATAGCTATATCAATGATTCAATAGATTATTTATTCAGTCTTGCCACTAAGAAATGAATGCATACAATACCTTGCAATAAACTGGGGCAGGAAACGTATGTCCACTACTTTTGTTATTGTTGTTATGGTAACTATGTTTGTATAGTTCATCATCATCTTCATCGTCATCATCATCATCATCATCGTCATCATCATCATCTTCTGGTGGCAAATGCCGAAAGCTATCACAGTGTTTCAGGCCCAGTCGCTGAAACAAAAAGCAAATGGTCATATGGAATCATTGTCACTGTGATGATTTTTTTCTACAGGAATGTCAATGAGTCAAAACAAGCAGTGATAGGTATGTCAATGAATTGTGCTTGTCATTAGAAGGAATGACAATGAGTCAACCAGGTCATTGACAGGTGTGTGACAACATGATTATTTGTGGGTATATCAATGAATTGTGCTTGTCTTTAGTATGTGTGTCATTCAATAAACCTGGTCATTGATAAGTATGCTAATGAATTGAAGTTATCATCAGTGGGTGTGTCAAAAATTCAGCCTGATTGGTGATAAATATGTCTATGAGTCAAAATGATCAGTGATAGGTGATTCAGTGAAAGTAACTCACCATGTTGTCTGCTAAGATATCTCCTTGACTGGAGCCCCCTGTGTGGGATAACTCACACAATGCATCCATTTCAACAGTTTGAGCAGTCATAGGTTTACTACTATAGTCAGCCAGAGACACCTAAAATCAAGTTAAATGAAAACTAAGTAAAGCTGACCAGTTCAAAGATGCAACGTCTGCATTATTTAAATGGAAACATCTGACTAGAAGTGAAAATCAACACTTGTCCAGTTACACGAGTATCACAAGAATCATTAATGTTTTACACTGTACTCAAAATGAAATAATAATCACCTTTCTGTAAACTTTCACCCCAAGATCACGCATGCACTACAGAACAAATGTGGGTGATTTGAAACATAACATAATTCAGAAAGCTTACTTTGTATTTTGTATGCTGGAACATCTGTACTACAACCAGAATAATGACGAACGCCAGCAATGATGAGATTACACCAACGACCAATTCATCCAGTGACAACCAAGTGAACTGCGTCTCTGGTCGAATCTCACCATAGTACATTGCATTTAATGCTAACAGAAGAAAAGCCAACACAAAGCAGCTGGTCACTCGCTGCACACGGGTAAACCGACTCTTCGCTGGTCTTTCATATACTGAAAACCACAGATGTCTTTCAGAAAACCCATGACTTGTTTCCGCCCAGAAAATCCTTGAGAACTTGGAAAGTTGTTTATCACTGGCCAATGTGAGCTCCTTTTTTACCACACCTTCTTGACCAGTTAGAGTTAACCATTGTTCACAAAGAAAGTAATACTTCTTATTAGTCTGCATATCTCGTATAACAACTCTCGACAAATACCAGCACGGATGTAGACCGGTGTTATCGTGCCAAATACGGATCTTTTTAATGTCGCCAAGGTTGATATCAGCTGCAATCTGAAATACGTCAAGACTATTTCGCATGAAAGCATTAGGTTTACTCAGATGTCGGGTTCCACTTTTACCATGTGCTCCATAGATATTGACACCCACATGGGCTGTGGTACCTATAAACAAAAAGAATCTTATCTCAGTACTGCATTACACCAACATGTCTTTTTTGCTAGCACATTTAATATATTTTAGCTAACTTAGCTAGTCTGAAATTCTAGATTTTGCTAATTTGAAAATAAGTATATTCTCAGATATATGGTACTGCTGGCTGTTTTGGCTATTTCATGCATTGGGTCAAAATCGGTAAAATGGCTATTTTAACGAACGTGTTTTACATTACTGCCCAGAGCACACCCCAGAATGATGTCACTAAACCCATAAAACTGATGATTTATTACCAGTATATTATCAAGTGTGTATAAAAATATGAGGGTATGCCACAAGATGATCACGAAACCACAAAACAAAAATAGAATTCTTGAAATACAAGTATGAATGAGTAAGTCTGTGAAAGAAATGGTCATGGTTTATCATACCATAATAAAACTAATGCTGCCACAATAGGTAGAGGGCGATATAGACTACTTCCCTTGAAGTAGCGAGACTGGGGTGCAACCAAGATGCCTGCCGTTGTCATGGCATCAAATCTTTACTTTGTCACATCTATTGGTACATCTACAAGCATAATATCACGCATGCAAGTTTACAACTTCCAGGAAAGTGGTCTATACGAGACCAGCAGTACACGTCATACATACAATGTAGAGAGAGCTATATTAGACTTACCAGCACTACACTTCATACATAGAGGGCATTATATTAGACTTACCAGCACTACACTTCATACATAGAGGGCATTATATTAGACTTACTAGCACTACACTTCATACATAGAGGGCATTATATTAGTAGAGGGCATTATATTAGACTTACCAGCACTACACTTCATACATAGAAGGCATTATATTAGTAGATGGCATTATATTAGACTTACCAGCACTACACTTCATACATAGAGGGCATTATATTAGTAGATGGCATTATATTAGATTTACAAGCACTACACTTCATACTTACATAGAGGGCACTATATTAGACTTACCAGCACTACACTTCATACATAGAGGGCATTATTAGTAGAGGGCATTATATTAGACTTACCAGCACTACACTTCATACATAGAGGGCATTATATTAGTAGATGGCATTATATTAGACTTACCAGCACTACACTTCATACATAGAGGGCATTATATTAGTAGATGGAATTATATTAGACTTACCAGCACTACACTTCATACATAGAAGGCATTATATTAGTAGATGGCATTATATTAGACTTACCAGCACTACACTTCATACATAGAGGGCATTATATTAGTAGATGGCATTATATTAGACTTACCAGCCCTACACTTCATACATAGAGGGCATTATATTAGTAGATGGAATTATATTAGACTTACTAGCACTACACTTCATACATAGAGATCATTATATTAGTGGATAGAATTATATTAGACTTACCAGCCCTACACTTCATACATAGAGGGCATTATATTAGTAGAGGGCACTATATTAGACTTACCAGCACTACGCTTCATACCCGTCTTGATGCTGATTTCATATTTAAATGAAGCTTCTTTGCCACACAGAGGAATAATACCAATTCTTCTCAAGTCAATACTATCTCTCCATCTTGCGATAAACACAGCAACTATATATATAGCAAAGAGTGCACAGCACGTGATCACAGTAATCGGATTGGAGTCGCTGTTTCTTATCTGAAATAAATTAGACAGTAAATTCAGTCTACATAATTTGTTGGAAGTTTGGTTTTCATAACAAACATTAGTCGTGGTAGTAAAAAAAATAAAAAACAGGTTTAAAATTAAAATTTTCACAAACAAATTAGACTAGAAAATCTAAGATTTTCTTTTCTGGGCGTAACTTCTATCAATTCAAGATGTAGCTACTTCTACTTATTAACCAAGACATTGCGTTACTTACCACTGTATAGGAACTGACAGCAGAAGATGCGGAGGAGCCACCAAATGAGGTAAGATGGTTACATTGACAGGAAGGACACACGTAGACTGACTGTTCGTCCGGAATACACCCTGTACTCTCCCATTCATTCAATGTCTCATTATAATACTGACACGTTGTAAAATATACACCCACTGATACGTTGATGACGCTCTGCACGTAATTACTGGTTACCAGTAAGTAGTATTCAGTATGACTACTGTAATCACTGAAACAAGCGATACAAATATTCGTATAGCATAGTTTTATAGATAAAGCAGCGAACACTAAATTTAGTCTCTCGTACAGATGAGATATCATTCGATCACATCACATTTAACGTACACCGGCACAAAACTCATAAAATGTTTATCTCTGGCATATCAGGAGGCGTCGTTCTCTATAAAGCATAAACTGTGAGCAGCAAATCAGTCTTTTCCACTGGTGGTTTTAAATATTGGAGCATTTTTTTTATTCTTAATATACACAATCAGTCAAGTACACAACAAATTAGGGGTTAAAAATATCATCACAAAGTGATCAAGAAATGAAGCTAGCTTTTTCCAAAATAGTTGAAAATAGCATTTTTTTTAAAAATATTTTGAAATTTAATTCAAATTTTGAATTAAACCACCCAAGGTACCTTCCTGAAAAGTCTCAAAGTAATACAGCTAATAATTTTTAAGAAAAAAAATGAATATTTAAAGTTGATGACAATGATCAATCAGATACACGAATAGCTCCACTCTACTTTGTCAACAGCAGAGATAAAAAAACATACATGTATCATGTGACTCACCTTGAGTGGATAAAGAATGTATAAAGTTGATGATCTGAATCTGGGGCCATATCGTCTTCATCCACATCTAACTCATCAATTACATCATCTGAATCAGCATCAGGTGTTGTTGCTAGGGAGACATGTATTGATGAATCACTGGAAGACTCCCTAGACATAACAACATTATACAACACTTGTATGTGCATGGAAGTTGGCAAGGTGACAGTTGGGAGATCAGTTATCATCACTGACGCAGCATCATTTGGTGACAGCAGAAACGACAAATATTCCATATCCTCAGTTGGGTCACAGTACTTGCTCTCCATCCTCTCTGAAACATGTTGGAAACTATGTGATGCTTTGTACATGGATATTTTAATGGGATTCTCTAAGTTTTTAATTGTTAACCTTGACAAATCATCGTCATAATACAGCAGTGTTGGCACCCTTGAAGTGACGTCATGATCGCCGCTTATACCCCAACTATAAGGATTATAATTATTCGTTCTCATTACTGATAAGATCTCGGCATTTGGTTCACTGTTTTCAAAGAGTCCAGCTGGTATAACAAAAACACACCCATTCAACTCAAGATTATCAAGGACAGTTGCCCGAGTAGTTCGTTGACCTGTTCCCTGTATCCCCGGTGATAAAACCTCAATTGGAGCTTCATGGGTGACTTTGGCATTGACCAAATCGGTGATCAACTGATCGGCCTGCTTTGTCAGTCGCTTCACAGACTTGTGATGTACAAGTTCACTGGCAAGTTCTTCATCAGGATTTTGTTCATAATAATTTAGAGTGTCCAGTAAATTTGAGATGATTGTCATAATCGAATTGGCCGGAATCTCCTCAGGATCTTGTCCATCGTTCAGGAATGCTTGACATATGAACATTATGTCATCGATAGTGTCAGCTATGATGTCTATTGTCTCGGTTTCAGCCAACTCCAATATAATGTCCTAGAAAACAAATAAATCATTTGCAAACAATTGATGTATGTAAGAGTGTCACTAGGCAACAGTATGCACACACAAACATGGCATGCGCAGATTCAAGTAAGGCACACAATTCCCAAATTATCATCAGACATGATGTAATTCTATTTGCGCATGCATAATCTAGTACCTAGCAACGGGCGAGGGTAGAACAAAAATATCAAATGTCAAAAGAGCACCGGTCGATATGCAACCCGGAAGGAGTCAGCGGCATATTTTAAATTGTGGGTGGGTACAAACAAGGGCAGCTGGAAGAACTATTTGAGACAGCTGAGAAACGTGGATTTCTAGTTGAAAAAGATGATTTTCCAGAGAAAATGGACTGAAATAGCAATGGTATATGCGTGTTTCACAGAGTAAAATATGACCGTGACATACGGAAATATTAGGCAATAGCCAATGATAATTTGCATGCTCATTATTTGTGCTTAGACAGAATAGCATGCAAATTGTGAGAGGCTGGCACAAGTCAGTTGAAAGATGAAGGCAGTTTTATTTCAGGTGAATTTCTGTGACTCTGTGCTCTGTCCTACCTTCCGGTTTGTTGACCGCTAGGTCACACAATATGCGCAGGCGCACAAACAATCAATTCTGGAATCAGGAATTTGCATGATACAGCTACCATACTCTCATATCTCTATCAGACACATTATTTATGGAAATAGCATCCAGGTTGATAGCACTAAATAAACCTATATTACGGTATTACGGTATGTGGAGCAATTTTTGTGTCATGAAATTGTCCTCAAAAACAACATGTTACATAAAGCTACAGCTGTAACCTTCTGCCATCTTCTAGCATTTGATGAGCCTTATCCAGAATAATGAATCATAGAAAATGTCCCTATCTTATTTGGATGTTTGCATCCAATAGGAATAACACAATACTGCAAACAAGCTGCTCTCTGATTGATCTAACTGTTAGGTGTTTGGAGTTGGGTAGCCAATCAGGCACAATCTTACAAGTAGCTTCTCATTGACCCTACTACCAGGCTTACAAGAATGTGTTTGATCAATTGAACATTTACTCAAAACTTGAATCTGTGAGAAAGGTATAAAACGCTGCCAATTAAAGGGTGGTGGTCGTTGTGCCATGTCCTATTCAATATGGAACTCATAGTGTCATATACAACGCATGTACAATACATTATTTGTTTAAATGAAATTCGAACATGTGATGCGCTGTGACCACCGCCCTTTAAGCCAATCATACATGAATAAAGAAACAATCTAAACAGATGTACCGGTATATATAAAAATATTACCCATAATCCACCAGATAAAAAAAGAAGCGAAATTGTACACCCTTGATTCAGTCACTGGGTATTAGCAGAAAACCTCGATCTCACACTAGGATTTATCAGCAAAAGTGATTTTCACTTACTGTACTCTGCTTCAGTGCAGAAGACATCTGCATAACAACCAACATAGTATCCACTTTCAACACGGTAACAGCTTCAATCACCATCCTTCGAGTTTCAACACGGTAAAAAAAGTCTTCATCACGAACATCTGTCTTGGTGCTTTCAGTATTTAAAACAGTAACTAGTGCTGTGGCATAACTGAGAACTTTTTGTGGATCGTTGGTTTGGCTTACGTATTGGAGGTCTTCAAGGGCTTGTTTATATAACCACATTGACATGGTGCCATTTTCGATCTCTGGAAGATTCACTATCACATTTCTGTAATCAAACACATAAGACAATGTCTGGTATTTATCCATATACGGCAATGTCTGGCATTTATCTATATAAGGCAATGTTTGCATTTATCTATATAAGGAAATGTCTGGCATTTATCCATATAAGGCAATGTCTGGTATTTATCTATATAAAGCAATGTCTGACATTTATCTATATAAGGTAATGTCTGGTATTTATCCATATACCTGGTAAGGAAATGTCTGGCATTTACTCATATAAGGCTATGTCTGGCATTTACCCATATAAGGCAATGTCTGGCATTTATCTGTATAAGGCAATGTCTGGCATTTATCTATATAAGGCAATGTCTGGCATTTATCCATATATGGCAATGTCTGGCATTTATCCATATAAGGCAATGTCTGGCATTTATCTATATAAGGCAATGTCTGGCATTTATCCATATAAGGCAATGTTTTGTATTTTTACATATAAGGCAATGTCTGGAATTTATCCATATAAGGCAATGCCTGGCATTTATCCATATAAGAAAATGTCTGACATTTATCCATATATGGCAATGTCTGACATTTATCCATATAAGGCATGTCTGGCATTTATCTATATTAGGCAATGTCTGGTATTTATCTATATAAGGCAATGTCTGGCATTTACCCATATAAGGCAATGTCTGCCATTTATCCATATAAGACAATGTCTGGTATTTATCCATATAAGGCAATGTCTGGCATTTATCCATATACAATGTAAGGCATGTCTGGCATTTATCTATATAAGGTAATGTCTGGCATTTATCCATATAAGGCAATGTCTGGCATTTATCCATATAAGGCAATGTCTGGCATTTATCTATATAAGGCAATGTCTGGCATTTATCCATATAAGGCAATGTCTGGCATTTACCCATATAAGGCAATGTCTGGCATTTATCTATATAAGGCAATGTCTGGCATTTATCCATATATGGCAATGTCTGGCATTTATCCATATAAGGCAATGTCTGGCATTTATCTGTATAAAGCAATGTCTGGCATTTATCTATATAAGGCAATGTCTGGCATTTATCCATATATGGCAATGTCTGGCATTTATCCATATAAGGCAATGTCTGGCATTTATCTATATAAGGCAATGTCTGGCATTTATCCATATAAGGCAATGTCTGCATTTATATATATAAGGTAATGTCTGGCATTTATCTATATAAGGCAATGTCTGGCATTTATCTATATAAGGCAATGTCTGGCATTTATCCATATAAGGCAATGTCTGGTATTTATCTATATAAAGCAATGTCTGACATTTATCTATATAAGGCAATGTCTGGCATTTATCCATATATGGCAATGTCTGGCATTTATCCATATAAGGCAATGTCTGGCATTTATCTATATAAGGCAATGTCTGGCATTTATCCATATAAGGCAATGTCTGCATTTATATATATAAGGTAATGTCTGGCATTTATCTATATAAGGCAATGTCTGGCATTTATCTATATAAGGCAATGTCTGGCATTTATCCATATAAGGCAATGTCTGGTATTTATCTATATAAAGCAATGTCTGACATTTATCTATATAAGGTAATGTCTGGTATTTATCCATATACCTGGTAAGGAAATGTCTGGCATTTACTCATATAAGGCAATGTTTTGTATTTTTACATATAAGGCAATGTCTGGAATTTATCCATATAAGGCAATGCCTGGCATTTATCCATATAAGAAAATGTCTGACATTTATCCATATATGGCAATGTCTGACATTTATCCATATAAGGCATGTCTGGCATTTATCTATATTAGGCAATGTCTGGTATTTATCTATATAAGGCAATGTCTGGCATTTACCCATATAAGGCTATGTCTGGCATTTACCCATATAAGGCAATGTCTGCCATTTATCCATATAAGGCAATGTCTGGTATTTATCCATATAAGGCAATGTCTGGCATTTATCCATATACAATGTAAGGCATGTCTGGCATTTATCTATATAAGGTAATGTCTGGCATTTATCCATATAAGGCAATGTCTGGCATTTATCCATATAAGGCAATGTCTGGCATTTATCTATATAAGGCAATGTCTGGCATTTACCCATATAAGGCAATGTCTGGCATTTATCTATATAAGGCAATGTCTGGCATTTATCCATATATGGCAATGTCTGGCATTTATCCATATAAGGCAATGTCTGGCATTTATCTGTATAAGGCAATGTCTGGCATTTATCTATATAAGGCAATGTCTGGCATTTATCCATATATGGCAATGTCTGGCATTTATCCATATAAGGCAATGTCTGGCATTTATCTATATAAGGCAATGTCTGGCATTTATCCATATAAGGCAATGTTTGCATTTATATATATAAGGTAATGTCTGGCATTTATCTTTATAAGGCAATGTCTGGCATTTATCTATATAAGGCAATGTCTGGCATTTATCCATATAAGGCAATGTCTGGCATTTATCTATATAAGGCAATGTCTGGCATTTATCCATATAAGGCAATGTCTGGCATTTATCCATGTAAGACAATGATAGGCACTTTTATGTTATGTGTGGCATGTGTACATGTGATACGATATGCAAAGTGTGATGAACATTTTTCTATATAAGGGATTGTGAGATGTTTACCATATAAGTCAATATGTCAAGTGTAATCACTACATTTTATTATTTCAGTATCTAGTATTTTTTGTGAGATGTTGAGTCAACATCCCCCCCCCTTCAACAGCAAGATATGTATGTTAATCAGTTCAAATAATAATGCTCATATATATTCTGTATTTATCATGTCTTAAGTTTAGAATTGTGGTACACACACACATTTGACTATTAGTCAATAAATATTAACATAATACCAACCTGTGGTAGTGGCTGGCTAGTGACGTTATAAACTATATTAAAAAAAAAAAAACTCGTTCCTTTGTTCATTACTCACTGCCAGCCACACACACCACAGCTTCCCAGGCATTCACTTCTCTCATGATTGTTTTGTCTGGGCGAGAACTTGAGCACAAATCTAAATTCCCTTTGGTTTACTATGCCACACATTCATGCCCGAATTCCCAAGGTCAAATTCTTGGATCAAGGCTAAGTAGTGGATTGAATAACTCATATAAATTTTAACAAAATAATAATTAGTATAAGTGGCTGTCAAAGACTAATAAACAAGGAAACTATCTTTCTTGGAAAGAGTTTCTTATAATGAATATTTTCAAATCTGGAGCAAGGATGTCATAAAATTTGTTAGTTCATTGATTGATATATACAGTGATATCATCTACCACTTACCCTTGGTACCCAACAGCATGTGTTCCCCATTTATCTTCCACAAGTATAGTGACTGTCAACTCATATCCTGTGAGTTCTAAACCTACTGGTGTGGTCACTTCATTGTTTTTCCGCAAACCCGAGTATAAAATATAAATTTCTTGTTCACTGTCAACATCTGAGAGTCTATTAACCGCCAGAGAGTAAATCAGAGGTTCAACTACATTATCCTCGTCTTCCCAATCCCTGCAGCTGAAACTCAAATACATTTCTAACGCAGTTGATATGCGAGGTTGTACTTCGCATTCCCCATTACTTGGCGGATAATTTGGTGGTAAGAACATTTCTGCCATTCCCGGCGAGCTGAATGAGTCATCTGTCGCCGTTACTGTTAGCGTAAATGTGTACCCATACCCACTAGTAACTGCTCCCTTCTTGATAACCAGATTTGATGATTCTCCACCTGTCGTTGTAGTCTCGGAATTTAGTGCCAGATATGCTCCGTCGTCTCGCGTCACATTCCATTCATATTTCACGTGTTTCTTAAAACAATTCCAACAGCGACCTTGCAAAGACACGCGGTAGCTAGGACTTATTGAAGCGGTCGGTTGTAGGAAACATGTACGACATGTGATAGTGACAGAAGGTTGTGTCGTTTGTCTCACTATTACCTATATAATGAAAAGTTGAAAAAGTGAACAAGTGATTAGTGAACTAATGATTCATTGCTTGAATTAACATTTGATGACATAAAATACAATCCAAACATTTTTTTTTTTTTTAAATGTATTGCTTTTGTACTACTTTGAAATAAAACCCTGTAAAAAACATCTCAGGGACACCAGGGGTTTATTTTTGAATTAAAAAGTGAAACAAAATAACAGGAACTCAGTGATACCAAGTTAGCATGAAATGATTGAAAGCAAGTTCAAATGTCAACAACAACAAATATTAACCACCACTATTACCTACTACCAAATTAGTATCAGTCACCAATAGCAACTACTAACTGTAGACTTACACGTGCATTACCCTTTCGCATCCACACATTTTTACCTGCCAAAGGTAGCCCGAATACTTTAAGCAACAGAGAAAAATAAAATAAAAATCAGGAGAAACTTACTGTCTGCTTAGATGTTCCTGATGTTCTGCCAGGTTTACTGACAACCAATTCAAAGATATAACTACTACCACCAGTCAAAAACCCTGCAGGTATTTCCACTATCATATCGGTAACTGTTTCGGACAAACATTGTACCTATAAAAAAATGAAGAAAGATACCGGTATATACATACTGCATGGAAATATCATTTTGCTCATGGTTCCTGAGTTCATCCAGTATTTTTGGTCGGAGCGGTCAGGTTTGACTATGGGTAGGCATGAGATGAAAATAGTCCCTTCAATTGTCCATAAATTGTATTTTGTATGATTTAGCAAGGGTCTAATCATCTATTCGTTATCACACATACATACGTACCTGTTGGACAGTACAGTTCCATTCATAGTTTAATATGGACTGTTCTTTAAAACGCTCATCAGGATCATACGATTCGCTAGCATCAAGAGTTAACTTATCAAGGGCAGAAATTGTACGAAGTCTGCCGCCATTGATTATAGCCACCAACGGACTATCGACCACGTTTAATCTTGAACTTTCTACGCTGACGTGTGGTGTGTCTTTGAAACTCACAGTGAACTGTATGCAGTACTCTCCGTAGTCAAGGCTATGACTCTTTAAGTTCAAGTGCGGTAACGTTGTGATCGTCAACCTCTGCAAATCCACCGGCTCTAAATCCTCTAGATTCCTGCAGTGGACGTCATTCGTTGCAAACACCTTCCAATCGTAAGTTGTAGTGTATTGAATGCATTGGTGTAAATCAATGTCGTACTCAATGAAGATATTATTAGATCTTTCTATGCGGCGATGATAGCTTCCAATCAGTGTCAAAGTTGGTTCCTGACACCACAGTTTTCTTATTCTGATAGAGGTAGAAGACTGTTCTGAACTCACATCATTTTGAGCACTCGTTATAACGGTTTTAGTCCCAATATTAGAGTAAGTATGTGTAAAAACATTATGCGTACTTGTTTCCTTAGTCTCGTCCCCATAATCCACCACATAGATGATGTCACTTCCTGTGTCTACATTCAGAACAAATGTCACATTATATCCGACGTACATTGATTCAATACCACTTGTCTGCAGTTGAAGGTTGGATATCTTCTCTTGCACACTGATGACGTACTGTGTAAAATCACGGCTTATGGCATTGGTTGCTGTCAGCTCGATAGTGCAATTTCCAGGGGTGTCAAATTTATGTTTGATATTCTGAGTATAATACACATCAATGTTACCATTTATAGTTAGATTCCATTTATAGCTCACATCTGATCCCGTAGCAACAGTTGCACTGAAGTCTATCATCTCATTGGTTGGATACCCTGCTTCACAACAATCTGCAATTTGCAAATCAGTTATTACAGATAAAACTGTAATTAACACAGAGTCGGTCTCCTGTCCAAGTCCATTCTGTGCAGTGACATTGACATTATATTCCCCAAGTGAATTAAAAGTGTAAGACATTGTTGGATCGCTGGTTATAATGGTTGTGCCGTGATTATCAGATGTGGTCCATTTATAGGTGATGTCGCTGCCAGTTTTAACTATCGCAGTAAAATTAACTGCTGTGCCAACTTCAACAGATTCACCCGATGCAATAAGCTTCAAGTCAGATATTGGCTCTTGAACAGTGATCTGCACTGTGGTCTCTGCATGAGTGAACTCGTTCCAAACTTCCACACTCACAGGATAGACTCCAAAGCTGTCAAAGAAGTATGTCACACTCTTCGATGACAAACCAGTAACTGTGGGGAACGTCCAGTTATACGTCTCATGACTTCCGGTATCAAACACTGCATTGTAGGTAACATTTTCTGTGATGGGAACAAAGTAGCCAGTATTGGTGTTTAACACAATTCGCAAGTTTGTAATTGGTTCTATTACCTGCAAAAAGGTGAACGCAGTCTCTGCGCTTATCGGGTTTAAGGCTGTCCCGAGTGGAATTACATTTTTTGCATAATCATACGTGTATAGAAAATAAGGAACCAAGGTTGTTTCTGTGCCAGTATGATCGTCCATATTCCAATGGTAGGTTAAGTTGGAACCAGTTGCATAAGTCAGTTCGAATAAAATTGGCACTCCAGCTAAAACAGTCGATCCAGATACATTATGACGTAGTTCCAATTCTGTAGTTCGTTCAATGACCTCAGCTGTGATAACTTCAGTCTCGGTATCGATCAGGTTCGAGGCATTAACAGCCACGCGATGTGGACCAATAAGAGTGAAGATAAAACTTGTTATTTGAGTATTATCAGTGTGTAGCTGAAGCCCATATTGATCAATTGACCAGAAATATGTCAGTATAACACCATTGGTACAATTGGCTGTGAAATTGTAAGGGTATGGTAAATCTTTTTCAGCGTATATTCCATCTACAAGGTCGCTGTATATTTGTAGCCCTGTGATCTCGCCAATAACAGAGACGCTGTGAATAGCAGACATTGAGCTGATTCGATTACTGGCTGTCAATTTTACTGTGTACTCCCCAGTAGTGTCAAATGAATGTTGGTACGTATTATTAGCACTGACATGTTGAATGTTACATGGTAAACATATCTCCCAGGAATATTCCAAGTCCTCGCCTCTATCAACTGTGGCAGTAAAACTCACTGATGCCCCTTCTAAAACGACATCATTATTTTGATTAAGAATCGTTAATCCTTCGACTCCGGCAATCACATGTACTGTAAATGTCTTCTCCTCACTGCCGACTTGATTGGATGCTGTGAGCACTGAAGTAAAGACCCCTTCAGTAGAGTGTGTATATGCAACAGATTCCCCAGTGAGGTATACAGAACCTTCAAACAACCATGTATACGTCACACCACTTCCTTGAATAATCGTTGCATTAAATAGATACTCTATACCTGATTCAACATAGAGATTTGTGGACATGGAGTCAAGTAGCGAGTTTTCAGTGATGAAATCTGTCTTCACTAGCACCAATCCTGCGATCTCATCTTCGATTAAGATAGTCACAGATACATTTACGAGACTTACATGGTTATGAACACTTGCTACAACCTCGTGGTTGCCTGAAGCTGTAAAGGTATGATTCAGCTGATAGCCTGAGGCATGAGCGACAGCGACATCATCGACAAACCATCTGGTGTCAAAGGAACCGATATTTGTTGCATTGATTGTAAAAGTAATTGGGACATTAGAACGTGCAACGTCATATGTCTGTAGATCCACGTCATTTATAGATAATATTCGTTCAATGCACACATCGATGGAAAGAGACTGCGAGTGTCCATCTGCATCAACGGCCGTGACACTAACTTGGAATGTTCCGGGAGATATATATGTATGTTCTACACTTGTATTGTCTAATACATCCGTTTGGCTACCATCCCCAAATATCCACATATATGTGAGACTGTCTGTTGTACTCACATGCACTGCTAACGAGGTGATTTCATTAACAATACCGCACTCAGGAGCGGTCACACCATTTAGTGAAAACGTATCTAAAATTGCAACCTCCATGCTTGTCTGTACTTCGCTGACCAAATTCGCAGCTCGTAAAACCACAGTATAAGTTCCAGCAGTTTGATAAGAGTAGTAAATGTTCACCGATGATGAGGAGATCTCATTATCTCCCACCATTCCTGTTGATAAGTAATACATCACATTGGAGCCTGAGCTGATGCTAGCACGGAAAGTTGTCAGTGACAGTTCCTGACTCGGCCCATCATAACTCAGCGCTAGATCGCGTATTGGGTCTTCTGTCGTAACTGTCACTGAATCCTTCGCACTGCTGACAGCATTACTTGCTTCTACTTGTATTTCATAGATGCCAGGTTGGGAAATCCAAAGCGAGAATATTGACTGTTCATTCTCTATGTGACTAACAAGCAAAGCATCATAATAGATATCCCAGCTGTATAACATAGCTGTATTAGCACCAGATAGTAGAGCTTCAAAACTGACTAGTTGTCGCGTGGCAAAGACAGTGTCTGTAACATTTATGTGTACAGCGGTTATCCTGTAAATAGCTTCAATTTCATGTTGCACAGATAATGAATCGTACTGATTGTACACAGTCACGTTAATTGTGTAATTCCCAGCTGTGTTAAAAATATGGGTCCTTGAAGTTATGGTTGGACCAATGGACGGAGTTAAAGTACTGTCAAAAATATTATTATTAAAGTTCCACCTAACATTGACATCATAGTACTGGTCCCCTTGAAATTTAATTTCAAATGTTATCACGGTTTCAACAGCACCGACATTTGGTGCCGATATAAACGTCAAATTGGCTAGTGGTTGCATGCCACTTATTGTCACATGTAGCGAAGATTGAAAGCTACCTAAAGCATTTGAAACGTTCACATGTATTGTGTAATCACCAACTTCTGAAAAAATATGCTGAAAGTTGGGATCACTTCCAGTTGAAATCGTAGAGTTCCAGTTGTCAGTGCTCCACAGGCTGACCAATGACGTGCCAGTAACAGTCACTGCTGTGAAAGTTTGTTGATAGCCAACAAGCATTGGGACAGTCTCACTCCTCTGCAAATCCAAACCTGTGATCAGTTCCACCACAAGTACGTCAACAAATACAACTTCAGTACTAACAGGATTGGACGCAGTTACTTGAACTGAATGGCTACCAGCTTGATAATAAGTTTTCTCAAGATATGCATAGGATGCAACGGACGGTAATTTACTAACAGTATCACAATCTGATACAAGAGTACGCACTGCTGTTGGACAGGCATCAGCGAAAACAATTGGCGACCATGTTTGTGGCGAAGTAGGACCTTCGAAATACCACTCAGAACTCATGTCTGACCTGATATCGGAAGCAGACGTGGCAAGCACTGTCAAAGTTATCATCTCGTTAACCGGTACGACAACTGTACCGACAGAATTCGGCGACGTTCCTGTTTGCTGAATAATTGGATAAATGAACGTCAATTCCTCGATAGAATCTTGAAACTCTACGATACATATTAACGCATCAGCTGACAAAACATTCATGACAGATATAAAATAGTTTGTAGTACCAACTGTAAGATTTGGCGGTGAAAGTTGAGGATGATGTTGTGTGTATTCCAGTGGTGTAACGTAAACAGCACGAATGAAGCAGTCTTTGTTATCAATCCATGTGTCCAATCCTGTTGCGGTATCTCCAACAGATAGCCACGCTGATTGCGACGCTCTCACGACGCTATACCTTAAATCCTCACCAGATTGGTTCGGACAGTACACAGGTTGTTGATCGTATTGTACCCCAAGGACATCGTTCTCACTCACATCAATTGAATCTAAGAGCACAACCTGAAATTGTGTCTTTTCTGTTGCGGTTACATGCACTGGAATATCAGTTTTGAGTAGATAGTTTGGTTGGTTTCCATTTTGGTAGCGAGGTGGCGTAATCCAGCACTGGGCTACATCAAGGGTTGTGCACACTGGAGTCGAGTTGGAATTGACGCACACAGCATATGGAGAGCAAAACTCACTGCAGCCTAAAAACAGAAAATAATCCAATAAAAGTATTAAATATACTCTAACCTGCCATCAAGACCATGCAATATCATATAGTGATAAACATCGTAGTTGCTCTACATGTGATAAATCTGTATCTTGAAAAGGAAAAACAGAGGGGGAGGGGGTTTAAGCCAAGAGCTTTTACTTAGATATACATGCATATATGTATTGATTTAAGGTTTTAGTAAAAATCAAATTTAACATACACTGTATTTTCAAGATGCATAATTTGCATAACTTTTTTTTTTTTAATTGGAGCACACATGATATTTTTGATTTGATTCCTCAATTTCAATATATGTTGAAGGCACATTTGTTACATTAATTTAAGATCATACATATATTTAATGGAGTAAATACAGTTATGGTTAAAAATGGAATTTGAAATCCATGCATGAATATACAAATTGACTTGAATATCAATAATACTATTGGATTATGGTCCTTTATTTACTTTTGAAATTGAATTATTAGAAACTCCATTAGAAACTCTGAGAAGGGTGATGGCAAAAAAAAAAATGTGCAAATCATTTTTTTTTTACTTAGTTTTGGGTTAGGGGGATGGTTATCAAGACTGTGCTGTAAATATTCTTCATTCTTTCCTACAGCCAGGTGTGTAGGCAAAAACACGATTACTTTTTTTTTTCTTCAACTATTTATGACAAGGTCTAAGGCAATCACAGAGATTTTTAAATCTTGAATAACTGCAGTAATTCTTGAATGTTTAATCTCACATCTCAAATCTAGCTGATCCTCTTTTTTTTTACCTATTTTTTCACTGCAAAACGCCCTCTGTTGATGAAATTATGAAACTTCAATATTTGTGTGGAATACAATATTTTAAACAAAAGGAAAGAAAAAAAATCTCTGCCCCATTTTCCAAAAAACTTTTGACCACTTTTTCATTTCCGAGATCACAAAGACAGACACTAAAAAATAAACCTAACAAGAACACTTTAATACAAAGCCTTTACAATTTTTTATAAATACATTTATAAGCAAAAGTTCCAGCTTTGTGCCTTTTACTGTATATTCAACCACAAAAATGCATTTACCTGGTGGAACAAGGAATTGTCCTTGAGGACAAGTAGGTGTGTAAACTTGTAGATGTAGCTCAGCATTGGTAGCACTGTCGCTGCTGATAAACTCCCAACTAAGTAGTTTACCTGTACGCTCAAAATACATGCCTGGTAACACTACAACCACTGTATTGGTTCCTGAGTTAGCAGTGGACGAAGTCGTCAAAGCAGAAAATGGAAAATTATCAAAACTACACACTCCAGTTGTATAGTATTCTGCACCTCCAATATCATCTGGTGAAAGATAAAAAAAAAAAATTTGAAGATGTTTACTACATGGCTTGTTAATAACATTTTTATTTTTTAAACTTGGCTTTGTGTTCTATTACTATTTTTGTGTCTTTCCATGTATGTAACCATTTCCATTCTCTTACACTGGTGTGTGAGTACATGTATTATTAAATAAATAAATAAACAAACAACTAACGAATAGACAGACAAACAAACAAACAAACAATAAAATAAATAAATAAATAAATAAATAAATAACAGCATTCAAAATAGGTACTGTACATTAAAATTACATAGATGACCACCAGGGGTACTTACATTTCAAATATCAAAGCAATCAGGTTTTCAAAGTTTATATCAAAAGTTGCTGGACAATCTATAGTCTGCAGTTAAATTTACACATTTTCCCCAACAAAATTTTATAGCCACATCTGCTTATTTCAAAGAATTTTTCTATAATGTTGATAATTTTGGACCAAATGAATAATAATTTCAATTTCACAGCAGATCTTGATCATAATTGTGGAAAAAATATTGAAATAATTGTGTGTTTCGTGTGTGTGTGTGTGTGTGTGTGTGTGTGAAATGGAACAAAAGTTGAATTTGGAGGTCAAAGGTCAAATAGATAACAGAAATTTACTCACTAATAGTGAATGTTATCCAGTCCAGTGTTATATGTGTGCCTTGCTCAAACTCAAAACTCACGTCCAATGGTTGTGATGTTGATACAGGTGAAACCGGACAAATTATTTCAGGACCAACTATGGGGGCATCAACTGTTACACTTAAACTGTCGCTGTCACTGTTGTTCTCTGTGTAGACTTTCACTAGTACTGTATAAGTGGCAGGTAAAGCATATTTGTGTGATTGTTCGTTTACAGTGCTGTTTGTAGATGGTGAATAGTCACCGAAGTCCCATGTGTAAAGATCCACAGGTATGTTTGTTTGCACTGATAGTGTTATTTCTTCCAAATAGGACAATCGTGTCGTCACTACGTCCAGTACGATGCCACAACTGGTTTTGAAAACATCCCGAAGTATGTGGCGATGGCAATCCACAGATATAGTGTAATCCGTACATGATCCGCCGCAAGTACTTGTTTGAACGTTTGTTTCAATATTGCCACAAAAACATTGTATAGAAAGGGAAGCGTGTGAGAATCCAAGAAGAAAGCAATGCTCGTTGCAGGATTCCAAAGAATAGGTTTCAGAATCATCAACATGGTCGTAAAATGTCACATGACTAATTCCACTAATCACATCACAGGAAACATATCCAGAGGCTAGAATGAGAAAAAACATATAAATATTAGTTCAATTATGGTCAATTCGGGACAGAGAAAATATCAGAGAAAATATCTTCTCTTTTGCCATTTTTTTAGTTTTTAAAAGTATGCGCCGTGGCTAATGTATTTCTCTATCATCTCTGGGTTAATACATACCAAAATAACAAATATTATATCAACAATGATTGTTTTAACAAATATAGTTTATAGAGGAGATCAACTTACTGCAGGTGAGATCAGCATTGGATACTTGCATGAGTGGCTCCCCCTCAAGATAATAGGGTTCCTTACATATGACATCATTGCTGTCAACAGCGCCCTCGATGTTAGCAGCAAACTCTTTAATCCATACGATATCACAGTCACATAGGTAAGGATTATTTCCAAGTGCGCTGAAATCATAATTATGAATTATATTAGAACATAAAGCTTTATTTTCACAAATATTTTGTATGAAGACTTTGACATACTTCAATTGCCGTATCAGAAGGGCATCTCCAATAAAAGCGTATATAAATCGCCAACTGCATTTGCTGAACACTGAATCACTGAAATAATTTTTAATTTGACCATAGAAACACCTCAGTAATTTACATATTAAAGCGGGGCAGTTGTCACTTGTGCATGCGTCAGATGGCCATAGCGTGTCAATGTTTACAAACAAGCGTCTACCCATGAGCCTTTGCGTTCAACAGTTATGGTATTTGAAATATATCAGGGTCAGAAGTTTTTTAGATATAACTGAAAATAAACAAGGATTTCGATAGATTTGATCGTGATAAGTTTTCAGCATCTTGGAATGTCACTGGAATCATGAGCAATTGAATAATTGATGCAGCAGTGTACAAATGTACTTGTATGAAAAAACATTAATTGTAAATTAACCATACACTGTATGCCAAAAAATAAAATAAAGGTAGACTTACATATTGGTAAGAGATGGTAAATTAGAGAAGAGATTTTCAGATAAGCCTGTTAACTGATTGTCATTAATATTCCTACAAAAAAAAAATTATAATTGTATCAGAAATCTCAAACTCAATACAACTTATTCTAAATAAATTATTTGGAACATATGGCCTTACATTTACAATTCGCTATCATGCATGGCTACTCAAAAGCAACAATGTCTAGCTATGAAAACTGGTTACCCGGTACTCACTGTGACCACTATGAAATAAATACAGAAATCACACTATTTACATAATCTAATGTAAATTAGTAAATCATAGTTCCTACATTTGTGCCTAAAAAAAATTGACTGATGTTGTAATCGTCAACAATTATTCAGTTTTATTTTGTAAAAGGGGATACGATTTGTGTCTGAAAAAGCTAAAAATTTATAGGACAACTATCCACGTGGACAACCAGTTTTTTCAAGTGCTTGTCTTGCTGGAAAACCAATTTTTTTTTTAATTTTCACTTCAGAACAGTATTTAGAACACTTGGCTTTATGAAAAGTGTTCACATTCCTCTCTTACATTGCAAGTGTGAATCACAGTCAATATAAGCAGTATTCTTACTCGTTAGTTCAAATCACACAAAATAATACAACGTGAAAGTTATATATGAATGGTGTGTACTAAAACTGATCAAACAATTACAGAAATTTTTATAAATTCACTTTTATAAACCAATCACAGAAGAATATTTTTGCTTTGCAGAAATGACTATTAGAATGAAACACCATTGAGTTTCAACAAGAGTTGCCATTAGTCGTATGGTAGAGCTGATGATAAATACCGCCCTCTATAGTCTGTAACAGCTTTTATGATTTGTCATGCAGAGAAAGGCAGTTTTGCAGACACATAAATGGACAGAATGGGTCATCACTGTCATGACCACTGTAAACTGCTCACACACACACTAAATTCAATATAAATCTGGAACTCCATCTCAATAGAATGATCATCAATGTCGTCAATTTCAATATCAAACCATGACCCCATTATGATCGACGAAGCCCCACCTGATCAAAAGATAACCTCACTACACCCTAGCAACCAAAGCACTCAAGACCCAATGGAGTGTGAAAAGTAATCATGTTGAACCCTTTCACCATCAGTTCTCTGCCTAACATTGCTTCTTGTACCTCTGTCTATTTTGAGACACAATGAAAAACATTTAGTTGTCCTGAAATGAATTCTGAAGAGTACCGGTACTACCGATAGGGTGTTAAAACTCGTCCAGTGATGTAGATGTACAGGTGAAAACTAGAAACCCTCATTCCCGAACCATCCAATCTTATAAAATGTATGTCTATCTACCCAGATTTTCCAGTTATGAACATCACACACGATATATATATAATTTTACACTTTTAAGAAAAATTTGAGATATGGCATAAACATTAAAATTTGTAAAAAACATTATAATAATGAAAAAAGAACCACAATTCAGTAATATATCTATTATTTTCTAGAGGAAAATGCCGGAGCCCCCCAAACTGTTTATACATCTAAACCTATATATTGACCAGGAGTATTTCCATTTATGGGTAGGCCTCTAGCATATGAGAGAAATACTTACAATATTTCTAAATTATTTAATCCTGTAAATACACCTTCTTGAAGAAATGAAATCTGATTGCCATTCAAATACCTAGGAAAGAGATAATAATAATAATAATGTTGTAAAAAAAAGTTACAATAATTGATTGATAATTGATTGATATCATGTAAAATACAAATCAGTTGACATTAAAAATATTGAAGCTATGCTTACAATATATTAATGGAGGTCGAACCAGCGAATATCCCATCTGGCAAATTATTTAACTGATTACTCTGGAGGTATCTGTCAGTTTAATGAAAAGAAAAGAGATTACGACATTGTCATAGTCAACAACATGCTGTAAAATACTTTATTTCAGCTGGAATTAATTTTTGGGTGTTTTGTATGGAATTTATTTCACTGATTTTTGACGAGTTGAATATAATATATAGGAAAAATGGTATATTCACTGGATTTTATTTTCACTGAATCATCCCTTCAGCGAAAATTAATTCCAAGCGAAAATAAAGTGTTTTACATTAGTCCATGCTTGTTTTGTCTTTCTATCAACAGCATAGAGAAAAAAATCTGTTGGGCATGTCTGAGGAATGGTTGAGGTTGGTCGCCTGTTGGTTAAAAATGGCTACATAATATTATTATTGTACAAAGTTGTTTGTTTTTTTCTGATTTTACCAAAAGTCTGTAAACTTCAAACATACATACATTTTACTTGCGAATCAACGACTATTACTCATTTCAAACCGAAATTACATTTTCATTCAAAATATTTGAATTCATGGGCTAAATAATACACCGCAGTTAAGTTCACAGCCAAGATATCCCCAGAATTCCATCCATATTTCTCATTCACAAATAAGGCACCACTATGGTAAAAATAACAAAAAACAGTCCATACTTACAATGCCTCCAGAGACGTCAACTTGTTAAAAATATTTACATCTAAAGAATCTAATAAATTGTTGCTCACATCCCTGGTGAAAAGAAGATAAAAATAGTAACTGCCAAGTGATAATTTGGAGCATATATTTTTAAAAATAAAATAAATAAAAAATAAAATATGAAATATTTCATTCGAATTTAAAAAAATAGCACCATTTATTTGGCTGAGTCATCACCATCCTTATCATGAATGACCCCCTGAAGGTCATACATCCTGGTATTTCTGGAGGGACAAATTAAAGGGGGTTGGGTTGAATGACACCGGATGATGGTTTACAGTATTGATGACACACAAGTATTTGAGTGAAATACAATACCCATGCTGGAGATTAAACAGTTCATTATCAATGGTGTCAATATTTAGAAAATAGCATATCTTACAGAGACTGGAGGTTCGTCAGAGACTCTAGGCATCCTAGAGGTAGGGAACTTAGTTGATTGTATTCAAGGTTTCTGGAAATTAAATCATAAAAGTTGCCTTAGCACATGAAAATATCTTTGATGAGCATTTCATCAAGTGTCGCCTTTGAAGTGATCAATGAAGAAGTGTAACTCAGCGTATCAGCGTATACTCAGTGTATCTTTGTCATTAATTTTAATGTATAGGAGAAATATGAACAGTAATAACAAGCCGAAAACTGTGCCAAACTTTGCCATTGCTATGCTTTCAGATTAACACATTTAACAATATTTGACCAGATCAATATGCTAATTATATGCAAAGTGTTCATTACCAGTTGAGTGAAAAGACTTATTTTGATACTTACAGTCTTTCAAGATTCAGAAAGGCTTGGAAGGAGTCAGCTGCAACATTGGATAGATTATTATGACTAACAGTCCTGATTCAAAAATAAAAATAAAAAAGACTTTAATATTGGATCGGGTATAATGTATTACATATAACCAGTGACAATTAAGTGGTAACCCAAATGATCTTGTCATAAATATATATTGAGTTATATCAAGGTTTAATTTGAGATAAGGGCATAGTCATCGATAATTAGGATGATAAATCAGACAATGAAAATTTGCATACTTAGCATAGAGAGTAGGGAATTTAAATTGAATTCCGCATACATCAATATCAAAATTCCTTGGATACTGGATGTGTGAGGTTACCAGATACATAATTTTATTTCAGATTTTGTATCACGATTTCTTCACTATGTATCATATGCATTATGTCCACCACTACATCTGATTACAAGCTACCAACACGAAAACAGTGTGCCCCCACCAGAACTCATTTTGAAGAAAATAAATTAAAATGAAATTGCCCCAAATCAAGTTGGGTCAGTGTGTTACGTGAGGTATTCAAGTAAAAATATAGATTTGTATTTGGTTGCTGGTAACTTCTCAAATCGCAAACAAAAATGTGTGGCCTCTGATTTGTTTTTACAATTATTTTGCATATAGAAGATAAATTTCATAAGAAGTTTTACAAGACCGCTTTATCGAGGTATGTTGTTCTGTTGCATCAATCACATGGCAGTGAATTATCATAATTAGTAGCGACAAAAAAAAAATATCTGTTTGTCTGTGACGTGTCAAATTGGTTTAGAGGGTGCACTCTAAAAAAGTATTAAGTAGCATATGACCTTTGACATTAAGTATAGCTAACATCATCACAAGTTGTAATTTGAACATTATGAAATTTATTGTTTAATACATGATAAAATTAAAGGGTTAAACATTAGAAGCTGGGGTACTAGATTTCAAAGAAGGACAAAATCTACACAGGAAAAAAAAAAATCTTAAAAATGACTGATCAAAAAAAAATATAATTCATAAAGGAAAAACAAAATTCACAGAAATATCATTTTGTAAAAAAACTTAATACGTTAATGACAAAAAATAATCTACCCAATTTTTCAATAATATGTGATGGTGATATATTTTTGTTATAGTCACCTATCACATTTATTCAGAGTATATCAAATTTGTAGCAATGATTCAAATTTTTTAAACCAGCCTTTTAAATTATGTAATTGTAGTAACACTGGAATAGACTAAAGTTATGTCAATTTCGAGACTGGATTGTATTACGGTACTGTGATAATGAAGATCATACAATAGTAGCACTTTTATACTATCCAGGGAATATTAGGATTAAAAATGTAATGTAAAAACATTTTTACATTTTTTCATAACAGCGAGGAGATCCACGTTTCAACATGGCTTGGCTCTGTGACACTAATGTGAGGAATGAGGAATTCATATTGGTACACACTGGGAAAAGTTGGGTTTTGTGACTGCGTACATACTACCATAACAGAACCACTGTGAGCTAGAACATTGTACATATATAGAGTAAAAACATTGACATTTGCTGATAAACTGTAGTCAGTAATTAAATCAATAAAGATTTTCCTAAGTCAAAATGAAATGTGTTTGTAGAAAATTTACGTACAGAAAAGATATTATATATTACAACTCATTAGCTTAATCCACCTGCTTTTAGGGGGGAGGGAGGGAGGGGGGCAGAGGGATTGAAGGCAACACACACAGTAATGTCTACATTTTGATGTAAACTATAGTTTGTAAATTCAAAATATGTTCTTCAACACTAGTTTCACAGCCAAGCACAATACCATAAGTTTTGTATTTAGCAGTGTATATGTTTGGCATAAGACTGTAGAATTCCATCTCAACACATTCAAACACGTGTACATACAGGGAACTTTTTCACTATAAATATACGGTTAGTATAATAACTGTTTCAGCAACGCATCTAGAAATTGTAGTTAGCAATATTGATTCGGATCACCAATATATATACTATTTATTTCAGACTAATAAGTCCATATTCACACATACACACACAAAAATAATAATAATAATAATAGTAAATAAATACTAGAAAGAACAACAAACAAAAACAGGAAATGATAGTTCGCTTGCTATTACATAATTGCACATAGCATCTCAGTTCAGCATTTCATTCCAACGCTGCAACAAGGCTGACTTCCATCTCAAATCACTGTTCCATAAACTAGTTAATATACTGTTGTTGGACGAGCATACACGCTCTCTAAATTTATAAACTATATTCCTGTTAGTTTCATAAAATGATTTGACACGATTAGCAACAAACATGGATCTGGCACTGTGGTCATATGGATAGTCAAAAAGTCTACGGAATAGGTTGTTATAAGAAACCTTCAAAGAATTAAGGGTTGCTTTGTTAAAAAAGCACCACAACTGTGAACAATAAATATTATAACAATACGTATATATACCCATATACATTTGTACGTATATATATACAATATATATACCCATATACGTAGTTGTAGACAAGTACATTCAACTTACTGTCAGCAGAACAACAACGTAAAGTATTAAATCAGGTACATGTACATGTGGAATATATAATAATATGGAAATAATCGTAATTTTGATTGTCAGGACGTTGAACATTGTTGAACAAAGAAATGATTGTTGTTCTTCGGCAGTACAGATCTGAATTCTTGCACAAAGCTTTCCTAATGACTTATCTCATGAAAGCAGATTTGAATTCTTGCGCAATAGCATTCTTAATGACAAGCATGCACTCCTGGCAAGATTAGTCTCCATGACAACCAAACTATCATGCTATTGACAGATTTATATGCGTTTTTTTTTTTTTAAGTTCTTTTGAATTGGTTGGGTGGATACAATATCTATCAATTGTAACCAGGATTTGTGTACAGAGCACCAAGACTGAAGTTACATGTTTTAAGAAACCAATTTCTCTGTGTCATAAAGTTACCCCGATATGTATGCAATTCATGCACAGTGAACTTTTCAGTTGGTGGAACATTTCCAAGCACTTCATCACACTGCTAATGTCGTTAGATTTGTTGTGAGTTTTTTATTACTGTAGCCACATCAAGCAAAAGTGTAAAATTTAATTTGCATAATTTTCTGTTTAATTGAAAAACTTAGCAGTTGAGACACCACCATAATAATTCAGTAATACTACTTAACACATTGGTATTTATGTTGACAGTTTTGACACTCGTTTATTTCCATGCAGAATCGTCTAAATGTCAATAATATAATCAGGTTCACATCATAAACTAACATTAATATATCACTGTTGTTGTCATACAAACAATACCATCCTGTGTCTATACCAGGTATTGTCAATATCAACATGTGATATCATATTATGTATCATGTAGATACCAATAATAACTTATTCAACACATTTGAGTACAATATCAAGGTCGTAGTGAATATCGTCTGCCGATCCGTTTATTTTGGCTAGCTGTTAAGGCTTTTCTGCTTCTAGTACACCAATGTCATGAATACATTATTGTGATTGAACGATACCCTGATTTAATTTATGCAAGCCAGAATATGAATAGCAAATATTGATCATTGTCCATTGGATCAAGTAGATATAATGAATATTTAAAATTCAATTAAAATTTAACCTTTTCATCACCAGACTTTCTCGCCCAAATTTGTCTGCACTTTTTTATTATATTCCTCAATATTTTTGGAAATGAACCCTAATTTTAGAGTCAACAGAAACAATTTGAGTCAATTTTCTGTTTTTACTCAAAATATTTGGCTGTTTTTGTCCTAAGGTCACACTGATTTAATTTTATGGATGACATCCTCTGGAGACCCCAAAACTAATGCGAGAGGGTGAAAAAAAAAAATCCTGCCAAAAAAAAAAAAATCCTGCTAAAAACACAGGACTACGGAGCTGCTATTACGAATTGGACCACAGAACACAGTGTATCAAAGAACAACAAGAAGTCTTTATTTGTAGGAGGCACATGTTGATATACACATCTCGTACTGTATTACTGTATAACCATTTCAGACAAGCTCTAGTACATGTAGTCATGATGAAGTACAAAATGTACCTTCAGTCAAAAACACTGCATGCAAGGTACAACATGGACATCATTTTCAGTACAAGTCAAGGCGGAATGTACATATCATTACTTTATGACAATAACTAACAAAACATTGCAATGATACAGAAATGTCCTTGCTTGCTCCTCTCTACACAGTAGGGGTAAGCTTTAACCAATCTCTCGTATAGCTGTGTAAACGTCATATCTCCCTGGCCGACGTCAATTGCGTACCAGTCTACAACAATCCCTCAGTTTTTCCTCTGAACTGTTATGCTCACGTATTCCTGGCAACGCAATACGCATGTGCAGAAGATCATTTACGACAAAATTGGCACGTTTTTAGATAGTCCAAAAAGAGTTTTACGACAAGCCGGTGCTTTACGACAATATGAGTCGGCAAGTTACGGACAGAAAACCGATCTGTAGAGATTCGTCGTTGGAGATTTTTTTTTTTTTTTTTTTGAGAAAAGGCGAAAACTAATGCGCGCGTGGATGTCATCCATACAATTAAGTCGGTGTGGCCTAATCTTCTGAAGGAAAGTGCAGACTATAAACGGGACTATTTTGTGAATTTGTGGTGAAAAGAGAGAATTGGTGGTGAAAAAGTTAAAAGCTTTGTAAACAAGAATCCTGGAGACTAATATACAGCTCTGATATTTGAGATGCACAAAGCAATTTGGTTGTACATCTCTGGTTTGCAGTCTATGATTTATTCTAAAGTAGCTATGCACCAACTTTACTTTACTAAAAATAGGCAAATTTATGCAAATTAGATAATTAATATTCACAACCAAAACTGAATTAGGCGGTGAATTACCTCAGAGAATCTATGTATTGATTTTCTGCGAAATCAATTCTTAAGACATGAGTAAAGCTTAAAATTGGCTAATTAATATGCAAATTAGGTGATTTTCAAGAATAGATTTTAACCAAAAATTAATCAGGTCTGCGCATTATCCCAGAGTATCTTTACATCAAGTTTT